ACATTTTTTTTAAGATTTTTTTTTTATATTTTACTATGACCAAAGTAGTACAATGTTACCATAGTAACATTGTACTACTTTGGGGAAGTGATCAGTATTTTTTTTTTTTTTTTACACAATTTGCTTATAGCAAAGAATTACTTTGCTATAAGCAAGCATTTAACTGAATGAAATCGATTCATTCAGCTTTTTTTTTTTTTTTGTGCTTAGCTGTGATTTGGTCACAGCTAATCACATGACATGTGCATGTGATTAGCTGTGACCATTCACAGCTAGGCACTAGTATACAATGGATGGCATCATGAATGAAGCCATTCATTGTATACAACTGTCATGTGACCTGCTGTGATTGGTCACAGCAGGTCACATGGTACCAGCAACGGGAGCCGGTACTCGGATATGTCATCGGCCGTGTCCGAGGTGCACGGCCGGTGACAGATCGCACTGCTGCGCCGCTCTTCATTAGTGCAAACGGCGCATGTGCGGGAGCACGCCAAATGGCGTGCACCCGGAGTGGAGAGACCCTTCTGAAGCCGCCAAACGGCCATTGGCCGGGCGGCTAATGGTTAATTTGACAGACTTGCTGTAGCCTCCATAGCAGTCTGATTATGTCCATATTTCTGTGCTCAAAGCGGTACATTTTTTTGCATGGAAATATGTATTTTTTTTTTATTGTAGGCCTGTAATTCTTAGGAATAACTCACTGAAATCTGTCCGAACAAGAGTCTAGTAAACATCCCGGATATGATAAAATTTGAAACACGAAATCATAAATTATATTATAATAAATAATAATACATTTAATTCAATAATATAATCAAACCAAAAACACTGAAATGTGAAATATAGCGCCAAGTTCGCACATCACTGAGCAAAGTCGCAGAATCGTTTTCAGTGTCTGATGAGGAATTTCCCCCACCAATCATTATCACTCAATTCTGCAAGTGGTTCTGATTTACTATCGCTGTTCTCTAGCCGGTCTAAAACCGCTTTTGACCTAAAGGGACGCTTTTTGGACTCCATGGACGTTTCTCAGTTTCCAGGCAGAAAGAACGGTAAAAATGCAGGCAGGGCACAGGACAAAGCACTCGGGATAAAATGTATGTGAAATGGTTTGATACAGTAATGATTTACTATGTGATTTTAGTGAATGTCACTTTTACAATTTTCCCACCAGTTATGTCCCGTACATTCCAATGTCGCAAGGAACGGAACCCAGAAGACAGATGCCTGCATCGGCCGGAGGACATTGCCGGGGGGACACTGCAGGAGGGACATCGCGGGAGCGCAAGACAAGGTAAGTGCAGAAGAGATCCCGGAGCAACGCCACAGGGTATTCCCGAGTGTAGCTCGGGGAACCGTTTCTGGCGCTGAAACCTTACCCTGAGCTACACTCAGGAATACCTCCTGGGAGGTTAATGGGGTTCAGATTTGGCCTCGGAGCTTATGCGACGTTATCTGAACCCTGTTTGATCCAAATCCAGGGCAGTTCAGCTCATCCCCATTATAGAATCAGTGGCTACAGGCATCCTGACAATCAGTGAGTCACCCCCACCCATCCCATTCAGCAATCATTTGCACAATCCTGATACACGGGTGAATGTAAACAAATGGGGTATGAAGCAAATCCTTCCAGGAGTGACCTCATTCTTATAGACCGCACATTCGATCTTTTCATGAACAGGGAATGATTTGTAAGTCTTTGCAGATCTTTGTGCCCAAAGGGTCATGGTTTAAAATTGAGGAGAGTCAAGTGGCTTAATGCCAAGGCTCTTGTGGAAAGAGGCAATGAGCTTTTCAACATCAGAAAGCACGTTGTGTGAAGCTCCTTTTTCAACATAAGCACCAGCACCAGTATTCAGAAGTGTGTTATGTACAGAGTGCAGTATTCAGAAGTGTGCCATGTACAGAGTGCAGTATTCAGAAGTGTGTTATGTACAGAGTGCAGTATTCAGAAGTGTGTTATGTACAGAGTGCAGTATTCAGTAAGTGTGTTATGTACAGAATGCAGTATTCAGAAGTGTGTTATGTACAGAGTGCAGTATTCAGAAGTGTGCCATGTACAGAGTGCAGTGTTCAGAAGTGTGCCATGTACAGAGTGCAGTATTCAGAAGTGTGTTATGTACAGAGTGCAGTATTCAGAAGTGTGCATGTACAGAGTGCAGTTTCAGAAGTGTGCCATGTACAGAGTGCAGTATTCAGAAGTGTGTTATGTACAGAGTGCAGTGTTCAGAAGTGTGCCATGTACAGAGTGCAGTGTTCACAAGTGTGTTATGTACAGAATGCAGTATTCAGAAGTGTGCCATGTACAGAATGCAGTATTCAGAAGTGTGTTATGTACAGAATGCAGTATTCAGAAGTGTGCCATGTACAGAATGCAGTATTCAGAAGTGTGTTATGTACAGAATGCAGTATTCAGAAGTGTGTTATGTACAGAATGCAGTATTCAGAAGTGTGCCATGTACAGAGTGCAGTATTCAGAAGTGTGCCATGTACAGAATGCAGTATTCAGAAGTGTGCCATGTACAGAGTGCAGTATTCAGAAGTGTGTTATGTACAGAATGCAGTATTCAGAAGTGTGTTATGTACAGAGTGCAGTATTCAGAAGTGTGTTATGTACAGAGTGCAGTGTTCAGAAGTGTGTTATGTACAGAATGCAGTATTCAGAAGTGTGCCATGTACAGAGTGCAGTATTCAGATGTGTGTTATGCACAGAGTGCAGTATTCAGAAGTGTGCCATGTACAGAATGCAGTGTTCAGAAGTGTGCCATGTACAGAGTGCAGTATTCAGATGTGTGTTATGTACAGAGTGCAGTATTCAGAAGTGTGCCATGTACAGAATGCAGTGTTCAGAAGTGTGCCATGTACAGAATGCAGTGTTCAGAAGTGTGCCATGTACAGAATGCAGTGTTCAGTGTGCCATGTACAGAATGCAGTGTTCAGAAGTGTGCTACATACAGAGTGCAGAGTTCAGGAGTGCGTTTTGTACAGAGTACAGGGTTCAGGTGTGCATTTTATACAGATTGCATGGTTCAGGGGTGCATTTTGTACAGAGTGCAGGAGTATGGTTTATACAGAGTGCAGGTTTCAACATTAACCGTGCACACTTCAGGGATGTGCTATGCACAGAGTGCACTATCCAGAAGTGTGCTACATACGTAGTGCAGGGTTCATGAATGTGTCCTACGCACACAATCCAGGGTTCAGGAGTGCGCTACATACACAGTGCAGAGATCAGGAGTGCGCTACGTACACAGTGCCGGAGTGCGCTACGTATGTGCGCTACGTACACAGTGCCGGGATCAGGAGTGCGCTACGTACACAGTGCAGGGATCAGGAGTGCGCTACGTACACAGTGCAGGGATCAGGAGTGCGCTACGTACACAGTGCAGGGATCAGGAGTGCGCTACGTACACAGTGCCGGGATAAGGAGTGCGCTACGTACACAGTACACAGTGCACAGGGATAAGGAGTGCGCTACGTACACAGTGCAGGGATCAGGAGTGCGCTACGTACACAGTGCCGGGATCAGGAGTGCGCTACGTACACAGTGCCGGGATCAGGAGTGCGCTACGTACACAGTGCCGGGATCAGGAGTGCGCTACGTACACAGTGCCGGGATCAGGAGTGCGCTACGTACACAGTGCCGGGATCAGGAGTGCGCTACGTACACAGTGCCGGGATCAGAGTGCGCTACGTACACAGTGCCGGGATCAAGGAGTGCGCTACGTACACAGTGCCGGGATCAGGAGTGCGCTACGTACACAGTGCCGGGATCACGAGTGCGCTACGTACACAGTGCCGGGATCAGGAGTGCGCTACGTACACAGTGCATCACGGGATCACAGGAGGGATGCGCTACGTACACAGTGCAGGGATCAGGAGTGCGCTACGTACACAGTGCCGGGATCAGGAGTGCGCTACGTACACAGTGCCGGGATCAGGAGTGCGCTACGTACACAGTGCCGGGGATCAGGAGTGCGCTACGTACACAGTGCCGGGATCAGGAGTGCGCTACGTACACAGTGCCGGGATCAGGAGTGCGCTACGTACACAGTGCCGGGATCAGGAGTGCGCTACGTACACAGTGCCGGGATCAGGAGTGCGCTACGTACACAGTGCCGGGATCAGAGTGCGCTACGTACACAGTGCCGGGATCAGGAGTGCGCTACGTACACAGTGCCGGGATCAGGAGTGCGCTACGTACACAGTGCAGGGATCAGGAGTGCGCTACGTACACAGTGCCGGGATCAGGAGTGCGCTACGTACACAGGGCAGGGATCAGGAGTGCGCTACGTACACAGTGCCGGGATCAGGAGTGCGCTACGTACACAGTGCAGGGATCAGGAGTGCGCTACATACAAGAGTCCCCGGCACAGTCAGAGAACTGACCACACTGTGCTCTCCTGCCTAGCATGTAAGTTTTTAATAGAAAAGCAGAGGGACTGGCAGGAACACCAGGGATTTCGCACAAAGGAAACAATACAAAGAGAACAGGAGACTTCTTCATACCAGTACATGGCACAGCAGGCACAGACCAAGAATATGAAATGTTTGGTTTCCATATTCATTATGAACACAATGATCTCCTATGCACCTCAGCTGCATCTATTAGCTATGGGACATATTAGTGCTGAAATACCTCCAAAAAAAAAAAAAGCAATACCACATTATGGCCATTGGATAGAGGCAATGATCATAGGAAATCTCCATAGAAAATAAATTACGGCCAATGTTCGTCATGGCTGACTGATTGCTGGTCACATTCTTTCAACAAATATTTTTAAAGATAGACCTCTAAGTGTTTGTGAAATCTCCCACCACAAAATGTACTCAGCCAATGAAAGGTGATGACTCCATTTTTATTCTTCTCCTGCTATCAATGGCCAACCCGGTCCCACACTTCATCCATGTCTTTGGTGACCTCTGATCTCCTTATGAACTGTTTCTTCCATGATGAAGATCAGCCATGGAGTATATCTGAGGTGTATATCAGGTGTGCTTCTTCCCCACATGAGAGCTGGGATGTCCAGCAACATTCATCTAGAAGACATTTCCCGCACTCAAGGCACTAATACACCTCCAGGGTTGTGCGGGATCTCTGATGTACAGGAAGAAAGGACTTCAGTGAGGAACAATTCCCTCACTCAGGACAGGAAAGTGGCTTCTCTCCTGTGTGCAATCTCTGATGTCTGTAAAGATTTGACTTCTGTGAAAAACATTTCCCGCACTCAGGACATGAATATGCCTTTTCACTCATGTGCAATCTCTGATGTCTGTAAAGATTGGACTTATCTGAAAAACATTTCCCGCACTCAGGACAGGTGTATGGCTTTTCTCTCGTGTGACACCTCTGATGTTTCACAAGTTTTGATTTTTGTACAAAACATTTCCCGCACTCAGGACAGGAATGCGGTTTATCACTCATGTGCAATCTCTGATGGCTGCAAAGATTGGACTTATCTGAAAAACATTTCCCGCACTCAGGGCAGGAATATGGCTTCTCACCTGTGTGAGATCTCTGATGTGTGACAAGTACTGATTTTTGTTTAAAACTTTTTCCACAATCAGAACAGGAATACGGCTTTTCCCCCGTGTGAGACCTCTGATGTGTGACAAGCTCTGATTTTTGTATAAAACATTTCCCACACTCAGAACAGGAATAAGGCTTCTCACCCGTGTGAGATCTCTGATGTGTGATAAGATGGGACTTCACTGAAAAACATTTCCCACAATCGAGGCAGGAATACGGCTTCTCCCCCGTGTGAGACCTTTTATGCACAATAAAATGCGATTGAAATTGGAATAGCTTCCCGCACTCAGGACAGGAGAACCTCTTCTCTGTTGGAAGGCCGGCACGGTCCCGCACAGTCTGAGGGTCCTCAGGATACATGGAATCCGATGGTCCATCTACACTGGGTGGTGCCGGATGGACATTGGAGGGAGCCGGGTTTTCTCCTGGACTATACTGTGTGATGTCCTCATCTTCTACTTTCCAGTCTGGAGACAAAGTGAGACAATCCTCGGAGGTTTTCCTCATCTCCCGGCCATGGACTAAAATACAAAGACAAAGAGGATTACTAGACAGGAGCTGATTGGTTCCCCCAAACCAGGACTCCGCCCACCTCAGGCAGCTTGGTCTCTGAGGAGCTTACAATTCCACCCTCAAGGGAACTAGGAAATGGCTCCTCTGATCTCCTACCAGGTCATTTCTTTATTCATGGACCTTAGTCAGAGAGTGAGGAAACAACCAGAACTGTCTTTTATAGGAGGGACAGTGATGATGGGATTATAGGACGAGGGTCCCCACCCCCTCTATCACTCATCGACATCTTCCCAACACAAGAAGCGGTCCACACCAGGCCGCATGGGGACAAAAACTAGCTGCTGACTCTTAAAATACAGACACTTACCTGTCCTTTGGTCCCGTGGTGTCCTCACCATCGCTGGTTTCACCGGCCATCTTCTCTCCCTGGCGCCGGCATCTTCAGTGTGGGCACCCGGCTGTGACAGCTTGCGGCTTTACAGCCGGGTGCCCACTACACATGTGCAAGAAGCGCTGCGCTTTGTGAATGGTCCCGTAGTCTTCTGGGACCTGTCATGTGTCCCAGAAGACTACAGGGAGGGAGGGGGAGAGGAAAACTTCCACTTCCGATCACCTAGGTGGACGCAGCAGAAGTGGAAGCGGGTACCTGTCACATTTAGGTACCCGCTCCCCAAAGGTGCCAATCCTTAATGGGGAGTGGGGGACAAAGGCTTAAAGCAGAAATTCCCCTTTTGGGTGGAGCTCCGCTTTAACCCATCAGCAGGATCAGTATCTGTTCCTTTGTGCAAGGAGGAAAAGGATGAGCACTGCCAGAGCCCTACAAAATGACCTCCAGCAGGCCACTGGTGTAAATGTCTCTGACCAAACAATCAGAAACAAACTTCATGAGGGTGGCCTGAGGGCTCGACGTCCTCTAGTGGGCCCTGTGCTTAATGACCCACCTGTGCTGATCTCTGTAGGAGTGTCCTCCTCTATAAATGTCCCCGTTATTCCATCCTCCTCCATAGACTGCTGATCATCCCTCACATACGCCTCTTCTTCTTTAACCTCAACCTTTATATCTATCAGATCTTCACCCTAAACCAAGAAAAGGAGAGAAAATAACATAGCTAAGACATAAGCTTTAATCTTGTGACATCATATAAAAAATTCCACACATTGTCTCTACAAGTCCATGTTCTAGCTGCTCCGTCCCACCAACCTTGTAATGGTGAGGGATGGTGTGATCTTCCTTTGTGGAATCCCGGGAATACAGAGGACGGGGACATCTCTCTGGTGGGTTCCTGGTATTAGGTGTCTCCATCATATCCTTGTGTCCTTCTGAAAACTCCTCCATCACTCCATACTCCTCATCCTCCTCTTTATACTCTTCTTTAACAATATTATTCCCGAGGATTCCACTCTGAATATATAATAAACATCCATTGTAACAAACATGCTGTGTATAAATCACAACTACCAATAATTGTCAATCATCTACCTGATGATGGTGATGGTGAGGGATGGTGTGACCTTCCTGTGTGGAATCCCGGGAATACAGAGGACGGGGACATCTCTCTGGTGGGTTCCCATGACTGGATCCATCTGTAGGAAACACACACACTGACTGAATCCATTGTTTCTATGTGTTTATCAGATGATGGGGGATCTAGGTGGATCCTCCGTACTGCTCTCTCCTTTACAATAAAGTCTCCTCTTACCCGGTGATGTGAGGGGCGGCTGATTGTCCATCATGACGTCCTTGTAGAGATCCTTGTGTCCTTCTAAATACTCCCACTCCTCCATGGAGAAATAGACAGTGACACCCTGACACCTTATAGGAACCTGACACACACAATGATACAGTCACCATCCAGACACATCCCTTGTCTGTTACGTCATAATGTAAAAAAAACTATTATAAAACTGAAATTGGTGCAAAAAATTGTTACCAATCAATACTCCACACAGCTGCACTCATAAAACATACATATCACATACGTAGCGCTGTGTAAACCAATATAAAAGCACAAACCATACATCATAAATAATAAATGAGAAAGAAGTTCAATCAATTCTTGCACACATTCATTGTGTCATAGGATCAACTGTGTTCCATGTATCAAAATTTGAGTCGCCAATAAAGTATCCAAAAGCAAGCTTGATTCATGTGCTTCCAGTGGGTTCCACCACCATTCAAAGAGAAAGGGGCCTATTGATCTGACGGTCTGAGGTGTGTGCTGGACTGGAGTTTTAACCATCCCCCTACCCGGGGGCTGCTCTGCTTTTGCCTGCATATAGACGTCTTCACATCCTGCAGAGATTTGGATATTTAGGGTCTAGAAACAAACCACAGAGTGACGTGTTAGCCAAGAATCCAACACACAGATATGTGTTTGAAGTTGCAGCTTCTTCTGGTACCAACTATTTTCAACATAACAAAGTGAGGACTCACCACCTGCTAGAGAGGTCTTGTGATCTTTAGTCCCCGGTGCTGTGCTATCTTCCCTGCTAGTGAGCTTTTATTTACCCGCTTCCCCTCCGCCCTATAGCAGAAGTACTGCTACAGGGCGGCAGGGCTGTGCAAAATCACATATACAGTGGGGATCGAAAGTTTGGCCACCCCAGCTAAAAATTTGTATTAATGTGCATAAAGAAGCCAAGGAAAGATGGAAAAATCTCCAAAAGGCATCAAATTACAGATTAGACATTCTTATAATATGTCAACAAAAGTTAGATTTTATTTCCATCATTTACACTTTCAAAATAACAGAAAACAAAAAAATGGCGTCTGCAAAAGTTTGGGCACCCTGCAGAGTTAATATCTTGTACTGCCCCCTTTGCCAAGCTGAGACCTGCCAGTGTCATGGATTGTTCTCAATCATCGTCTGGGAAGACCAGGTGATGTCAATCTCAAAGGTTTTAAATGCCCAGACTCATCTGACCTTTCCCCAACAATCAGCACCATGGGTTCTTCTATGCAGTTGTCTAGAAAACTGAAACTGAAAATAGTTGACGCTCACAAAGCTGGAGAAGGCTATAAGAAGATAGCAAAGCGTTTTCAGATGTCAATATCCTCTGTTCGGAATGTAATTAAGAAATGGCAGTCATCAGGAACAGTGGAAGTTAAAGCAAGATCTGGAAGACCAAGAAAAATATCAGACAGAACAGCTCGCAGGATTGTGAGAAAAACAATTCAAAACCCACGTTTGACTGCACGATCCCTCCAGAAAGATCTGGCAGACACTGGAGTTGTGGTACACTATTCCACTATAAAGAGATACTTGTACAAATATGGTCTTCATGGAAGAGTCATCAGAAGAAAACCTCTTCTACGTCCTCACCACAAAAAAATCATCATTTGAACTTTGCAAATGAACATATAGACAAGCCTGATGCATTTTGGAAACAAGTTCTGTGGACCGATGAGGTTAAAATTGAACTTTTTGGCCGGAATGAGCAAAGGTACGTTTGGAGAAGAAGGGGCACAGAATTGAATGAAAAGAACCTCTGTCCAACTGTTAAGCATGGGCTTGGATAAATCATGCTTTGGGGTTGTGTTGCAGCCAGTGGCACAGGGAACATCTCATGAGTAGAAGGAAAAATGGATTCAATAAAATTTCAGCAAATTTTGGATGGTAACTTGATGCCATCTGTGAAAAAGCTGAAGTTAAAGAGAGGATGGCTTCTACAAATGGATAATGATCCTAAACACACCTCGAAATCCACGGGGGATTACATCAAGAGGCGTAAACTGAAGGTTTTGCCATGGCCTTCACAATCTCCTGACCTCAACATAATTGAAAATCTATGGATAGACCTTAAAAGAGCAGTGCGTGACAGACAGCCCAGAAATCTCAAAGAACTGGAAGACTTTTGTAAGGAAGAATGGGCAAAGATACCTCAAACAAGAATTGAAAGACTCTTGGCTGGCTACAAAAAGCGTTTACAAGCTGTGATACTTGCCAAAGGGGGCAGTACAAGATATTAACTCTGCAGGGTGCCCAAACTTTTGCAGACGCCTTTTTTTTTTTTTTTTTGTTATTTTGAAAGTGTAAATGATGGAAATAAAATCTAACTTTTGTTGACATATTATAAGAATGTCTAATCTGCAATTTGATGCCTTTTGGAGATTTTTCCATCTTTCCTCGGCTTCTTTATGCACATTAATACAAATTTTTAGCTGGGGTGCCCAAACTTTCGATCCCCACTGTATATACCCGATTTGCATTTTTGGGTATGGAGTGGGCGCTGCCATTGGAGGCTACAGATGTCAATCACTGGGTACTGGCCGGAGATTCCAAGCCGGCACCCGGCTATCGCCGAGTAATACTGACAGGGTAGAGACCTGTGTGTAAACAACACAGGCCTTTCTCCTGCCAGCAAGGACATGCTGCTGTGTATTTCCCTGCACAGCATGTCTCTAGTAAAACAGCACACAGTTAACCCTTTGATCGCCCCAGATGTTAACCCTTTCCTGCCCAGTGTCATTAGTATTATTAGCACTGTATTTATTAGTGTCACTGGGGATCGGTGACAGTTAGTTTCCCCCAGTGCCAGAATGCCCGCCGCAGTCCCGCTATAAGTCGTTGATCATCACCATTACTAGTATAAAAAATTAAAAATCCCAGTATCTATACCGCCATTTGTAAATGCTATAACTTTCACGTAAACCAATAAATTTACACGGATTGGGATTATTTTTTTAGCAAAGACACGGAGCAGAATACATTTTGGCCTAAATTTATGAGGAAATTTGATTTTTACAATTTTTTTCCTGGACATGTTTAATAGCAAAAAGTCAAAAATATTGTTTTTTTTTTTTTTTTTTTTTTTTTTTTTTTTTTTGTTCAAAATTGTCGGTCTTTTTTTTGTTTATAGCACAAAAAATTAAAAATGCAGAGTTGATCACATACCACCAAAAGAAAGCTCTATTTGTGGGAAAAAAAGGATGTGAATTTCATTTGGGTGCAGTGTTGCATGACCGCACAATTGTCAGTTAAATTAACGCAGCGCCGTATCTCCAAAAGTGGCCTGGTCAGAAAGGTGGGGAAATCCTCTGGAGGGCAAAGGGTTAAAGTGTTACTAAACCCACAACAGTGAAATCAGTCTGTAGATGCAGTAAAGCACGCTTGTTATACTCACTGTGGAACCTAAGGGGTTAATCCTCAGCACTGTGTAAAAAGGCTGTTTGATCCTGACTTCTCTGTTCCTCCCCTTTTCTTGGGAGAGTGCACGTGATTAGCACAGGGCCAATCAGAACTGTCCAGACAGAGGTCCTACAAGCTTTAGCTAGTGCTGGGCTGGACACTGATAGAAGTCACAAGACTTCTATCAGTGTACTTCTATACTGCTGATGAGAAAAGGGATTTAGCAGTTTATATTTACTAAAATTATTGCCTTTCCATGTTGTGTGTACTGTGGGAGACCAGATATAGTGAGTGCAGGGTCCAGGGAGAGCGGATATAGTGAATGCGGGGTCCAGGGAGAGCGGATATAGTGAATGCGGGGTCCAAGGAGAGCGGATATAGTGAATGCGGGGTCCAGGAGAACGGATATAGTGAATGCGGGGTCCAAGGAGAGCGGATATAGTGAATGCAGGTTCCGGGGAGAGCGAATATAGTGAATGCGGGGTCCAAGAGAACGGATATAGTGAATGCGGGGTCCAGGGAGAGCGGATATAGTGAATGCGGGGTCCGGGGAGAGCGGATATAGTGAATGCGGGGTCCAGGGAGAGCGGATATAGTGAATGCGGGGTCAGGGCAGACCGGATATAGTGAATGCAGGGTCCGGGGAGAGCGGATATAGTGAATGCGGGGTCCAGGGAGAGCGGATATAGTGAATGCGGGGTCCGGGGAGACCGGATATATAGCGAATGCGGGGTGAGCGGATATAGTGAACGCGGGGTTCGGGAGAGCGGATATAGTGAATGCGGGGTCCGGGGAGAGCGGATATAGCGAATGCGGGGTCTGTGAGACCGGATATAGTGAATGCGAGGTCTGGGGAGAGCGGATATAGTGAATGCAGGGTCTGTGGAGACCGGATATAGTGAATGCGGGGTCTGGGGAGAGCGGATATAGTGAATGCGGGGTCTGGGGAGAGCGGATATAGTGAATGAGGGGTCTGGGGAGAGCGGATATAGTGAATGCGGGGTCCGTGGAGAGCGGATATAGCAAATGCGGGGTCTGGGGAGAGCGGATATAGTGAATGAGGGGTCTGGGGAGAGCGGATATAGTGAATGAGGGGTCTGGGAAGAGCGGATATAGTGAATGCGGGGTCTGGGGGAGAGCGGATATAGTGAATGCGGGGTCTGGGGCGAGCGGATATAGTGAGAATGCGGGGTCCGGGGAGAGCAGATATAGTGAATGCGGGGTACGGGGAGAGCGGATATATAGTGAATGCGGGGTCCGGGGAGAGCGGATATAGTGAATGCGGGGTCCGGGGAGAGCGGATATAGTGAATGCGGGTCCGGGGAGAGCGGATATAGTGAATGCGGGGTACGGGGAGAGCGGATATAGTGAATGCGGGGTCCGTGGAGAGCGGATATAGCGAATGCGGGGTCTGGGGAGAGCGGATATAGTGAATGCGGGGTCCGTGGGAGAGCGGATATAGCAAATGCGGGGGTCTGGGGAGAGCGGATATAGTGAATGCGGGGTCTGGGGCGAGCGGATATAGTGAATGCGGGGTCCAGGAGAACGGATATAGTGAATGCAGGGTCCGGGGAGAGCGGATATAGTGAATGTGGGGTCCAAGGAGAGCGGCGGATATAGTGAATGCGGGGTCCGGGAGAGAGCGGATATAGTGAATGCGGGGTCCAGGAGAACGGATATAGTGAATTCGGGGTCCGGGGAGAGCGGATATAGTGAATGCGGGGTCCAGGGAGACCGGATATAGCGAATGCGGGGAGAGCAGATATAGTGAACGCGGGGTCCGGGAGAGCGGATATAGCGAATGCGGGGTCTAGGGAGAGCGGATATAGCGAATGCGGGGTCTGGGGAGAGCGGATATAGTGAATGCAGGGTCTGTGGGGACCGTATATAGTGAATGCAGGGTCCGTGGAGAGCGGATATAGCAAATGGGGGGTCTGGGGAGAGCGGATATAGTGAATGAGGGGTCTGGGGAGAGCGGATATAGTGAATGAGGGGTCTGGGGAGAGCGGATATAGTGAATGCGGGGTCTGGGGAGAGCGGATATAGTGAATGCGGGGTCCGGGGCGAGCGGATATAGTGAATGCGGGGTCCGGGCGGAGAGCGGATATAGTGAATGCGGGGTACGGGGAGAGCAGATATAGTGAATGCGGGGTCCGGGGAGAGCGATATAGTGAATGCGGGGTCCGGGGAGAGCGGCTATAGTGAATGGCGGGGTCCGGGGAGAGCGGATATAGTGAATGCGGGTCCGGGGAGAGCGGATATAGTGAATGCGGGGTCCGGGGAGAGCGGATATAGTGAATGCGGGGTCCGGGGAGAGCGGATATAGTGAATGCGGGGTCCGGGAGAGCGGATATAGTGAATGCGGGGTCCGGGGAGAGCGGATATAGTGAATGCGGGGTCTGTGGAGACCAGATATAGTGAATGCGGGGTCCGGGGAGAGCGGATATAGTGAATGCGGGGTCTGTGGAGACCAGATATAGTGAATGCGGGGGTCCGGGGAGAGCGGATATAGTGAATGCGGGGTCTGTGGAGACCAGATATAGTGAATGCGGGGTCCGGGGAGAGCGGATATAGTGAATGCGGGGTCTGTGGAGACCAGATATAGTGAATGCGGGGTCCGGGGAGAGCGGATATAGTGAATGCGGGGTCTGTGGAGACCAGATATAGTGAATGCGGGGTCCGGGGAGAGCGGATATAGTGAATGCGGGGTCCGGGAGAGAGCGGATATAGTGAATGCAGGGTCCGTGGAGAGCGGATATAGCAAATGCGGGGTCTGGGGAGAGCGGATATAGTGAATGAGGGGTCTGGGGAGAGCGGATATAGTGAATGCAGGGTCCGTGGAGAGCGGATATAGTGAATGCGGGGTCTGGGGAGAGCGGATATAGTGAATGCGGGGTCTGGGGCGAGCGGATATAGTGAATGCGGGGGTCCGGGGAGAGCAGATATAGTGAATGCGGGGTACTGGGAGAGCAGTTATAGTGAATGCAGGGTACGGGGGAGACCGGATATAGTGAATGCGGGGTTCGGAGGAGAGCAGATATATTTAATGCAAATGTCCAGAGTTTAGTAACACTTTAAACCCCACTGAGATATCATTTACCCACACAGGTCACCCACAATGTAGGTAAAAGGCATTCTGACATCATTACACTCAATGCAGGGACCAACAGTCCTGTTTTACTTGTAGAGTCGGCCCACATCCTAATATCATCGAATAAAAAAGAAAATAACCAGATGGAGGGACATTGGGAGGAGCTGTGAGGTCAGTGTGATGTCATAGGATTCTCTGACTCTGAATGGAAGGACATTGGGAGGAGGCACTGTGAGGTCAGCGTGATGTCATAGGATTCTCTGACTCTGGTTGGAGGACATTGGGAATCATTTCTCCCGGGTGTGTCCCACCTCTCCTAAACTGAAAGATGACCTTTCTCTTTGGGCTTTGCCAGACACATCCTATCCCTGTGATCTCCGTGTTCTTCGGAGACTTTACTGATCACAATTCAGGATGAATATCTGAGACTGCTATCATTATGGAGAAATACGTTTTCAGGACATTTCCTACAAGTGACAGTTTTCTCTCTTTCTTCCTATTTTATAAAATAAAGACATACATATTCCAATCCCCCGAAATAACCCCCCATCCCCCGACACTGATAAAAGTCATGTAATCCATTAGTATAGACCAGTGGTCGGCGAGCCACATGCGGCTCTTTACAAACTTAAATGCGGCTCTTCTGTGTGCCGGGCGCCCGCTCCCCTCCCTCCTGTCGGGCGGCCGCCCCAAAAGTCAGGACTCTGGCAGCTGTCAGGATGTAGGCGGGGGCAGCCAGGATGTAGGCGGGGGCAGCGTGACGAACTCCTCTCCTCTCACAGTCCGCCCTGAAGACCAGAACGGCGCGGGAACACGGCGAGAGGAACGCGCGGAGCAAAGGTAAGTGAATTGACACAGGGGGACTTACTATAGGGGGGATGAATTACTATATGGGGGATGAATTACTATATGGGGGATGAATTACTATATGGGGGATGAATTACTATGGGGGATGAATTACTATGGGGGATGAATTACTATATGGGGGATGAATTACTATATGGGGGATGAATTACTATGGGGATGAATTACTATATGGGGGATGAATTACTATGGGGGATGAATTACTATATGGGGGGATGAATTACTATATGGGGGATGAATTACTATATGGGGGGAATTACTATGGAATTACTATATGGGGGATGAATTACTATATGGGGGGATGAATTACTATATGGGGGGTGAATTACTATAGGGGATGAATTACTATATGGGGGATGAATTACTATATGGGGGATGAATTACTACATGGGGATGAATTACTATATGGGGGATGAATTAACTATGGGGGATGAATTACTATATGGGGGTATGAATTACTATGGGGGATGAATTACTATATGGGGGATGAATTACTATATGGGGGTTATGAATTACTATATGGGGGACAATATGGGGGATGAATTACTATATGGGGTGGGGGTTTACATGAATTACTATATGGGGGGTGAATTACTATATGGGGGATGAATTACTTTATGGGGGGATGAATTACTATATGGGGGATGAATTACTATGGGGGCATGAATTACTATGGGGGATGAATTAAATACTATATGGGGGATGAATTACTATCTGAATTACTATATGGGGGATGAAACTTACTATATTGGGGTTGAATTACTATATGGGGGATGAATTACTATATGGGGGATGAATTACTATATGGGGGATGAATTACTATATGGGGGATGAATTACTATAGGGGGGATGAAATTACTATAGGGGGTTTTATGAATTACTATATGGGGGATATGAATTACTATATGGGGGATGAATTACTTTATGGGGGATGAATTACAATATGGGGGGATTTGACTATTACTATGGGGGATGAATTATATAGGGGGGATGAATTACTATATGGGGGTCCTATTCTCATGGTATTTGATGAATTACTATGATGGGGGATTGAATTACTATATGGGGGATGAATTACTATGGGGGGATGAATTACTATATTGAGGGATGAAATACTAAATATGAGAGGGTAATGAATTACTATATGAGGTAACTATGAAATCTAACTATATGATAGGGGGGGGCGAGGGGTCACCTGCGGATGAAATTACTATATGGGGTGGATGAAAATACTATATGAGGGACTGTAATGAATTACATATGATGGCGATGAATTACTATAGGGGGGGATAATGAATTATATTATGAGTGGTATGAATTAATATATGGTGAGGGGATGAATAATACTATATGAGGAGACAACTCAGGATGACAATACTATATGGGAGAGGATGGAAATACTATATTGGGGGCACTATGAAATACTATATGAGGATGAAATAATATATGGCGAGGGATGAATACTATTATGAGGGATCTCATGAAATTACTATTATGGGGGGATGAAAATACTGATGGGGAAAAAATTAC